CCCCAAAACCCCAAAACCCCAAAACCCCAGATTTGGAATATTTAATTGAATAAAAAGGAACAAAGATGGACACAGATAAGAAAAGAGGTTTCCTCTGTGTAATAGGAGGCACCATTATGCACTTGTATCTTGGATGCTTCTACTTATGGGGAAATATTCAGGTTTATATCACTTCTTACTTACACAAACATGATCCGAGTATCACTCTTGGTGATACGAGTATTGTGTTTCCAATCCAAACAATTACTCAATCATTATGAATGCCTATTGGACCTCTGATGATGGAGTACTTGCCACCTTGGTGAGCATGATTCATTGGAGGTGTTATAGGAATTGGAGGAGTGTTCTTATCCTCATATGTGACTAATCTCTATGCATTCATATTTTTATATCCAGTTCTTTTTGGAATCGCTATTGGATTCTCCTACATGGTTCCTGTAGTGTGAGGCTGGGAGTATTTCCCTCAATGGAAAGGAGCAGTAAGTGGAGTTATAGTAGCTGGCTTTGGCTTTGGATCCTTCATTTTTGGGTTTGTATCTATTGCTATTGCCAACCCAGATGGAGAGCAAGCTGATCTCAAAGTTGAAGGTGGGAATATTTTCAGTCCTGAAAGTCCAGTTTCTTCCAATGCACCAAGAATGCTTAGAATTAACTGAATCATATGGTCTTTACTCTTACTCACCTCACTATTTATGATAAAAAAGAACAAGAAAGGAAATTTTTCCACCCAGACTCCAAATCTAAACAATAACAAGTCTATCTCAAACCAAAATGCAGTTACCGCACCACCCATATCCCTCAAATCTCCAAAATCCCCTTCAAAACAACCCCTAAGCACTCCTAGTGCTTATATCTCTAAGCCCAGTCCTTCCCTAACCTCAGATCTTAAAGAGCCAACTCTTGTAGAAGCTTTCAAGGATTACAGAGCTTATTACATCTGGCTGATAATCCTTTTATCTTCAAGCTATCCTTACTTTATTGCTAGTAACTTCAAAACTTATGAACAAGTTGACATACATGATGATAGATTTATTACTCTTGTAGGAGCCCTCGGAGCTGTTGTCAATGGCTTATCACGAGGATTCTGGGCAACATTGCAAGACTTCTTTGGGTTCAAAAGAGTATTTACATGACTATTGGTTCTTGAGATTACGATAGCTTTTACTTTTGTAGCAGTACATAAAGTTAAATTTTTGTATCTCATATGGGTTTTGATTTCTTTTTCAACTCTTGGAGGTCACTTCTCAATGATCCCAACACTTTGAGCAAAGATATTTGGTCCAAACACTGGAGGAAAAATATTTGGATTTATTTTCACTGGTTTTGGATCTGCAACTCTTATTGGTTGGTTCCTAACAAAAGCAGTATCTCATGACAAAATCAGCTATGATAGCTTGTTCTACATTCTTGGTTTTATGGCTGGGATAGCCTTGGTTATGGTATTCTTTCTTAAAGATAATACCATAGTCCAAAAGATATCTTCAAATTCTAGGCTAAGTCATGAAAAGGAAGGAATAGAGCTGACCCAGAGGCTCTTAAGCTAATATTGATATCTCTTGTTCCTAAATTCAATTATTTTATGATTTTTAGGGGTTTTGGGGTTTTGGGGTTTTGGGG